CCACTGGACTTCACACTCAGTGTGTCTCTGGGTACAAGTTCAGTGAGTAACAAGAGCCTCACGAAACAGCGAAGCTTCATTGCACTGGCACCTCACTCAAGGGCAATCTCAGAGGAAACGCCACCCCCACTCCACTACTGGACAAGACAACCCCTCCAGGTGATGCGCATTGAGCGTCTCTTTCCCTTCTGTTAGACGCTAGAGGCAGGAGCAGCAGTTACTGGGGCTGCGCTTATTAGAGTTCTTTTGGGGGACTTCTTCAAGCGCAACACAGAAATTCCCATGATGGCTCTAATGTCCACACATCCACCTGGCAGACTCATTGGTGCCTGGCCTCTCGACACCCTGTGCAAGGACCTTTCTGTGAAGGACTGTTTCCCCCCACCAAACACCTTTACCAGGGCTTGGCTTTTGGTGAAGAAGGTTGGCAAAGATGTCAAGGACTGCCTTATACAAGGCTTCCTTCACATCAAGCTGAACTTCTTCCCAGCCTTCAAATTCAAGGATGTCAGGGGCACAAAGCGGGTTTACTGGAACTTCAATGACTACGTGCAAATCCACCAAAGTTCAAGCAAACCCTTCCCCATTTCTTTGGTGGCCCAAATGACAATGCAGGTGTGTGTGGAGGTGGAGAGGCGGTCACTGACATACTCCAGGAACCTGGAGAAATACAGAGACTATGCCATGGATGGAGAAGGTCCTTGCACGGCTTCCACCAAACTTCAAGAATCTTCCTAACATTCAACTAACAACTGTCACCTTCCTTTCCTGCATCAAGTTCGTGATGAATGGAGACTATGTGGACTTCAATCATCTCAGAGATCTGCTGCAGGAAATGAGCAAGGTTATCTCGCAGGCAGAAATGCAGAAGATGCAGATTCTGTCCAAGTTCACCCTGCCAAAGGTTTACAACGTCATTATATGGAAGCTGCATGAGGAAATTTCCCACCGTGTTCTGCAACCTACTCACCCACTTCTCCCACGCACACCACAGCCAACATGGGAGGAAAGACAAGAGCCCATTCAGCCTGATGAGGATGTTCAGGATGTTGAGCTGCAGGACGATTTGAGGCCAATGGAGAGGTCACAAGCCATTTACCTTCCTGCAAAGACATCAAAACAATGGTCAGCTCAGGAGCTGTCATTCCTCCCGACAGGCAATCAAATACAAGTCAGGACTGCATACCAGGAATACACCCAGAAGTGTAAGGAACACAAAATTCCCATAAGAAGCTACGAAGCTTTCTGTAATAAGGTGCGGAAATCAAAGTCACAGCACTAAGATTCATGGTAAAAATGTTCAAAAGTGGGTGCCAAGTTAGCTCAGTCAGTGGAGCTGCCATAAAAAAACAAAAGAAAAACCCCCAAAAAAGGAGTGAGTGTGTTACTAGAATTAGATTGTTAGTAGTTTAGTTAGGTTAGAATTGTTAACTGTTTAATAGTAGTACTTTAGTAGTAGATTGTTCAATTAGGTAGATTGTTAGATATGTTACTTAGTTAGGCTGTTCATTGTTCATTGTTCATAAAAAAATGAGAAAAAAATAAAAAATACAAAAAAATAAAAAAAAAAACCTCCACATGGACTCTGACGTGGCGTGAGGGCAGGTAGGTAGGACACTTTGTCATTTTTCAACATAGGATCGCTCCATTAACAATGAATGGGACCACGTTCGGTCCAATAACTAGGGTTAGGATATTGGGATATTGAGTCCGCCCCCTCCTGTAACGAGGTTTTGGAGATGCGCGGTCCATCACCCAGTACGCTCTTTTTCCCTGTGTAGGCCGTGTTATTTGTGTATTTTCTTTGCTCATGAGAGCGGCCCTGACGTCTGCCATGTCTGACTGTATGCCAATCTTCATCATTTGTATATCCCATGATCCTCTATGAGTGATCCAATTTTCTGATGGACAGTTAGACGGTGTATTTAAGTAATAATCCTCCCTATACACCACACTGTGTCCCTCTGATGGGCTCTTGACAAGCGGTGTATTTAATTAATTATAGTTTGTATTTATTAAATGCTAAGCTAATGTATTTAACTAATAAGAACAAAAAGACTAAAATTCAAAAACGAAAGTGAAACTTAAAGAGAGACAAAAAGTGTCTTAAGCCTAAAAAGGGTTAGGGACACGGTCAGGT